ACAGCAGAGCATATTCTTTGTCCCCAGGCACACACAGCTACTGCCATACAGTCTGAGTGACCATAAGCTACATCCCAGGGTTGGCAAGCAGGTGGAGCGTGACTTGCACGCAGAAGAGGAGCTGCAGTGGCCCTGGGGACTCCCGTCCTCTCCCCTGCCTTCCCTCCCCTGGGGGAATGCCAATGCTGGCAGCTTACTGACCCTGCAACCTTGTGATGGGCTGAAATAACAGTCTCGAGCCCTTCGTACATCCTGGGAACTGTTTCCTGGGGTGAGGGGACTCTGGTAACAGGTGTCTTCACCTTCATGACTTGTAAGGTGCTCACAAACTCCAGGGAGAGGCAGGAACCCAGGCTAAGAGCTCATCCTTGTTCCTCTGGAACAGGCTCTGGTGGACAGCCCTTCTGTTTCAGTGGTTCAGTGGTCAATTCAGGTCTGTTTCTTTCTTTTTTTTTTTTTAAGCCAATAGGAGTTACTGGGTTTAGGGCAGTGAGCACTCAGAGATGGATGGATTTCTTCAAACCCGCAGAAGCTTTCACATGAAAGCTTCCTTTCATGTGAAAATGACACTGGCAGTGTGGGCATATTTTCTGCACAGGGACAGAAGCACTTGACTCTGGTTTTCCTATATTAAAATCTGCCACTGTCACCAGAAAAGTGAAGGCTGTGGTTCAAGGCCCTCCTGAGCCTGGGAGATGGGGGCTGCTCCTCTCCATAAGGGACTCAGGCCAAGACTCCCACCATCACCTCAAGTGGACAGGGACACCTCTGTGGGCTAGTGCAGGATGTCATGGTCACGGGAGCTTCAGGAGAGAGAACACCCGCAAATGAATGGACTTGGCTGGGGTGTGGTTCAGTGATAGAGCACTTGCCTAGTCCTGGGTTCCACACCCAGCACCACGCGCGTGCACATACATGTGCAGACACACATGCACACACGCATGCACACAGACACACACGTGAAGACAGATGCACAAATGCACACACACATGCACACACACACACACTCACACAGGCTTCAGCACACACACACGTGCAGACACACATGCACACACGCATGTGCACAGACACACACGTGAAGACAGATGCACACACGCACACATGCACACACACATGCGTACACACACACACTCACACAGGCTTCAGCACACATGCACGTGCACACATGCACACACATGCACACATATGCACACACACATGCGCATACACACATGTGAAGACAGATGCACACACGCACACACACATGTGTACACACACACTCACACAGGCTTCAGCACACATGCACGTGCACACACGCACACACACATGCGTACACACACACTCAGGCTTCAGCACACATGCACGTGCACACATGCACACACGCACACACACATGCGTACACCCCCCCACACACACACACTCAGGCTTCAGCACACATGCACGTGCACACATGCACACACACAAACATGCACACACACATGCGCATAGACACACACGTGAAGACAGATGCACACACGCACACATGCACACACACATGCATACACACACACAGGCTTCAGCACACATGCACGTGCACACATGCACACACACACACGCACACACACGCACACACAACTTAATACCACCAAAGTGTGCACTTAACAATGGTTAATCCAGTGAGTTTTAGACTGTGTGCATTTAGACAATTTTCAAATGCATGAAGAAATTTTCAACATCCTTGGCCATAAAGGAAATGCAAATCAAAATGACACTGGGATTCCCTCTCACCCCAGTCAGACTGACGCACCAAGAAAACAAACAACAACAAATGGTTTGAGGATGTCAGCTGGGGTTGGTGAGAATGCAAATCAGTGCAGCCCTACAGAAATCAGCATGGAGGTTCTTCAAGAACTAAAAATAGAATGACCATATGATCCTGCTGTAGCACTCCTGAGCATATATCTGAAGGAATATAAATCAGCATAAAAGAGACACTTGCACACCCATGTTTAGAGCTGCACTATTCCCACCAGCAAACTATACAATCAGCCAAGTGCCAACCAACTGATGAACAGACTTTTAAAAATGTGGTGTACGTCCACAATGGAGTATTATTCAGCCATAAAGAAGAAAGGGATTATGTGATATTCAGCCATAAAGAATAAAGGGATTATGTGATTTGCAGAATGAGTAAAACTTGAGATCACAATGTTAAGTGAAGCCAAACTAAGGTGACAAATAGCTCATGTTCTCTCTCACATGTGGAATCTCATCCTTAAAAATGCATGGTAGGAGTGTAATAAGGGAGCTACTGGGGGGAAACCAGCAGGAGGGGAAGGGATAAGGAGACGGTGAAAGAGGGTGAACATGGTCACAGGTGGCGAGGCCTAGGCAGAGTTTTCTGTCTTTACTGAGCTCAGGGTCTATAAGCAATGCAAACCCCATCACACCTCCACACAAATGTACAATGGCACACTGTCCTCAGGTACACAGAAGTAGCCAAAATCCAGGAGGTGCTGTGTGCTGAAGCTGGTGTGCACAGCTGTATTTACTTTGTGTTTGGCATTTTCTGTAATGCTTTGACAAGCATGCAGTGCAATCTGAAAGACTGTGCACATGAACTGACAACCAGTGTTTCACAGCACCACGAGAAAATGCCAGCACGTGTGCAGGCAGTCAGGATCAGCAGGCAGTTTTCAGGAGCACATTCCCAAAAAACCACACCTCAGGTGCTTCCCATGGAACAGAGGAAGGGAGCTCACCAGGCAGCAAGAAGGGCAGGTGCTGGACTTAGTTCCCTTAGTAGGGACAGCAATGTTCACCTCTTCCTGTTTCCAATAACCAGGAACAAATTTCCCAATAAATGGATTTTTTACAGTGGTGAGAGACAGGGTAGGGGACAGAGAAGGAGCAGAGGACCCAGCATGATGAGAGAAGGAGCAGGACACAGGGATCCAGGCAGTGCTGCAAAGGCTTGGAGGCCAGCAGAGGAGATGTCAGAAGGACCCTCTGCAACATGGACATAACAAGGAGGGTGGCCCACTGAGCTGGGAAGGACCCCAGAGCCAGGTAGGCAGAGAAAGCCATTTGAAAGAGTCTTGGAACTAAGGGGACTGCAGAAGGCAACGGGGTCCAGAAAAGGGATTTGTGGGGAGCAGATTAAAGCCTGGGAGAACTGGACACAAGCAGGGCAAGATGCAGTTAATTGCTTTTACCTGTAAGGCCGAGACAGGCACAGCCCCCGGGGCACAAACGGGGAAAGGCAGAACAGTTGTGTCTCCTAAGCTGTGTTCAGAGAAGCAGGGACACAGGTTTCTCCTGTTGCAGTGTCACACCCCTCGCCTGCTCTGCTCTGTTTGCTGCTATAGAAGACCCTTGAAGGAGGAAGAGGAGTGTTTTGCTTTTGCCTTTTGGGGCTTTACTTTGGGCTTTTTGGCCGGGAAGCTTTTGGAAGGGAAAAGAATTGTTGGAGGGAAAATCCTAAAGGGAAAAGGGAAAAATTGCTGAAGGGAAAGAATTGTTGAAGGGCAAATGCTGGAGGGGTTGATAGAAAGTTTGCACTGAGAACTTTAACATAGGCTTCAGAAAGCAAAGCTGAGAAAGAACTTCATGAATAGCCCTAGGAAAGCTAAACTAAAGAAAAGCCAAAGAGAACAGGGGACAGTGCACAGAGCGAGTCTAAGGACGACACCTTAAGAGTTGTGCATGTGCAGGTTGTAGGCTCGGCTGTTTGCATGTTTGAGCACTGAGGCTTTGAGAGGGAGTAAGGAGAGGTGGGACAGTGCAAGCCTGGGGCAAAAGACTTTAAGAGCAGTTGAGGTAAAGATAAGCTGAGAGCAAACATGGGACAGTGCCAGCCTAAGGAAAGAGGTTTGAAGCAAAGTTTTAAAGAACTACAAGAGAAAGACTTTAAAGGATCAAGACAGACAAGAGAAGCAATGAGGGTTGTGCATCGCCAGTGGATAGCACAACACACCTGACCCCAACTTTCTGTCTATCTGTCTCTCCTGTATCCTTTCTAAAATCTCCAGTTGCCCTCAGTTAAGCCCAGTTAGGTCCAGTAATAACCAAGGAGCGAGAGAGAAAGCTCGCTCCAGCAAGGGAGGAAGTGTGAGAAACAGCGTCCCCTTCAGGGACTCTTCAGAGTGGCCATGGTTGTGAGAGGGAGAAACGGGCCCTGAGGGAGAAATGCTATCGGGAAAGGCGAGCAGAGTCTGGCAGCCGCGCCGCCCTAGACCGAACACACACCGTTTCCTCCAGGAAGGCGTGTGAGATGGTCTCATTGGTCTCCAAGTTCCTAAAAATTGTCAGAAGGGCTGAGTGGACGGGGGAAAGTGAGAATGACAGAGCCACCTGGCTAGAAAGCAGCAACAAGTACAAAACAGGAATTTCAACTGTAGGGCAGATTTACTTAGAGAAATCAGAGTGAGCCAGAGTTAATGCGAGTCTCAGCTGGTGTTTAACAAACTGCTATCCACTTGGTTCAGCATTTGTGTTTCTTATCAGAATCCCGCTGTAGGATGGGCGTAGGGCAAGGCTGTCAGAAGACATGTGGGTTGGAACCTTCTGCTTGTAGAGGAGCAGGAACCAGTGAGCACCTCTCCCCCAAGAGCATACAGGATGCAGCTCACCTTGACACTGAAACCACAGCCCACTACACGCCTGCATTGTGGATGGTGTTAGCCTCAGACTGGACACCAGTCCACAGACGTGTGGGATGGCCAGTACAGGACCCCAGCACTGCTATTTGATTTTCCACAACACGAGGAACAGATGAGATTCGGGGCCATCCCTGTCGCGAGCTGTGTTCCATGCTCCATTCTGCATCCGCATTGATAGCATTGTGGAGGAGTGACTTTGGGGGAAGCACGGACAAGAGGGGAGAGCCGAATGTGTGGGCCTCCACCCTGAAGTACTTGCCTCTCCCTCATCCACGGCCAACGACCCAGCGACACAGGGAAGATTGCCTCCTGCCCTTCCCGACACCCAGTGCCTCGTTCCTCCCCACCATGATGGGAAGAGCCTCCTGGATAAACACTCACCATCACCCATGCTTGGGGGGTCTTTGGGGTCCCCTGGAGGTGAGGGCCGTCTCTGGGAGGCAGTCGGTGCTGATAGGGGCCTCAGTGTTCTGGAGGGGTTGCGGATAAGGTACCGCAGCCCTGGGTCACCTTCCCCGGGGGACACAAGGGGTCTCTGAGCAGCATAGGCACTGAGAGCTGCGATCAGGTGCTGTCTGTCCACGCTGCTGTCTGCCTTAGGGCTGAGCTCGTCTGGCTGGAGCCGGCTGAGGGTCCTCAGTGGAAGGCTCTCGGGATACTTGGCCCGAGTGGAAGGAGGGTAGGTCAACGCGGACGTGTGGGCCACGTAGGTCAGGATGCTCTTGGGGAAGGGGTCCTCACCCTGGAGGGGCAGAAGAACAGAAGAGGGCGAGAGCTGAGTGTCCACTGGCAGCTGCACTTGCTTCAAGGCCCTAGTGGCAGCAGGCACTCCTGAACTAGGCCCGAAAGCAGGACTCTCATTTCTCTCCACTGACTGACCACAGTCCACTTTCATGGCATTCTGGTCTTGGGTTTTTAATACCAGCTCCACTGAAATGTAACTCACATGTCAGGAAATTGCCCAGCTCAGTGTCTTTGTACACAGAGCTGTGCAGACCTCAGGACAAGTAACTCCAGAAGGTGTCACTGCCCCCAAAATAAACCTTGTGCACATTCTCATTTCTCCCCACCCAGCTCAGGCAGGCACTCGTCTACTTTGTCTCTATGGGTTTGTGTGCTGTGGATATTTCATGTAAGCAGAGCCTTACAACATGGGGTCTTTTGTGTCTGGCCTGCTTCCCACAAAGTGAGAATTCATGTGGTCAGAATTTCCTTCCTGTTTAGGGCTGAGTAATGCTCCACTCTGCAGACATCACATTTTTTTTTTAAATTCAATTTAGCAGGTGATGGACATTTGGGTCTTCCTTAATTCTGGGCTGTTTTGAATAATCTGCTACAAACATCTGTGTAAAGTTTCTGGCGAACTCAAGCCTTTGGTTCTCTTGGGTATGTCCCTAGGATTGAGGCATGGTGCTATGTACGAACTATAGTCAGCTCTTTGAGGAATGGCAGGTCTGCACCATTTGAGACCCCAGTAGAGAAAACCTGTAATCTCCCACACCTCACCAGCTTTCTTGTTCTAGCCATCCTAGGTGTGGGTTCAGCCTTCAGGGACAGGAAGCTGGAGCGTGGGAAACAGGCTGGCGTGAGTCCACTTCAGCTGTCGTGTAAGAACCTGGGCAAATCGCTATTTGAGGTGTCCTTCTTCTGGCAAATGAGGAGTTTGGATATTGAGATTTCTGTTGTTGTTATTGTTTCTAAAATGATGTGATTTTACCTATCATCCAAATTGTTTAATTTTGTCTGAGGACTGGCTGAACTCATCTGCTCTTCTTTAGAAAAGAGAAAGCAGCATGGGGGGCAAGGGGGAGAGACAGAGAGAGAGAGAGAGAGAGAGAGAGAAAGCTGCCACCACTCTCAGCCCTGAAGCAGTTGCCCACAAATTGGGCCTAAGTGTTATCGTGGCTCAGCCGCGCTCCCTCTCAGAAAGGCTGTCTCTGAACACCTCTTCAGGTCACCACGCTGGTGGCTGGCATCCACCTCGAAGCCTCATTAATGTCCCCGCACCTTTTCCCTCTCCTAACCTGAGTGTCCACTCACAGGGCTTCTAATTAAAGTGTGTGGACAGCTCCAGGCAGAGGAGAGATGGTCTCACAAAATCAGTGTCTGCAGCAAGCTGGGTGAACAATCTATTTCTGTATGCTCTGAATCAAATTAAAGAGCAGAGGAGAAAGGCACAGACAGCAAGCAACATAAACAAGAGGTGTCTTGGAGTTCACAGAAGGTCGTTTTCACACTTCACCCAGGTCCTCTGCAAATGGTACAGTGCCCTCAGAGGAGCCGCCATGGCCCCCAGCACCGGGCGTCACCCCAGGAGCGAGGAGTCCTCCTCCCACTCACTCTTCTGTGGCTTTGGGTCTCAAAGGGGAGAGGGGTAGATTCCAGAGCCACCTGAGTTCAAATCCCACCCGTGAGGTGACAACCTCTGTGGATCACCTAAGCAGATAGCACCCGGCACGGGTCTTTGCCATTAGCACTTTTTGCCCCTGCACCTTTGCTTTCTTGGAACGTGCAAGAAGCCATGGTTGTGTTTCTCCTTTCACTTCCCGCTCTGTGTTTTAAGTTCTGACTTCTTTTCCCAGCCTCTACTTTGAAGATGCTTTAGGTCTCAATATGTCTACAATGCAGGCTTTCCTGAGAGAATGCGGACTACCAGGACTGAAGACGGGTGTGGACCGTCCGAGGAAACTGAGGCTGGGCATCGTGGTGAGCCCACCTTGGTGGAAGAAGCATTTGGAAACTGCAGGGAAGAGCAGCTACTCAGACTCATTAGATATTCTCTCCTGCCGAGCCAAATTAGGAAACTGGAATCAGAACATCTTTGACCACATAACACATTTCTTCCTGTCCGCCCCACAGCCCGAAGGCAGGATTGACAGGCACCTTGATCAAGATGTGCTCACGGCTGGTCTGACAAAGCGTGCAGCAGTGGCTATCCAGGGCTTCCTAATGAGACGGTCCCACAATGCAGGGGGTGAGCCACTGGGAGCTCAGGGTGTGGGGGAGACATGGGCACCCACCATCCGCCTCCTGCTCATTGAGGTAGAATTCTTGAGCTATGGAGGGTGTGGAAGGTGGCTTGTTTATTCTCCCTCTGTGTCGCTCCATCTGTCTGACTTCGTCATCTATCTATATATATCTCTGTCTTTCTGTCTCTGGATTTGTCTGTCTGCCCTGTGTGTTTCTCTTTTCTCCCAGTCTGTCTTGCCTTTCCTCTTTCTCTCTCTGTCTCTGTGTGCTTCTTTCTCTCCTTGTCTCTGTCTCTTCCTGTTTCTGTGTCTGTCTTCTTTCTCTCCCATCTTTCTATGTGTCTCTGTCTGTGTACTTCTCTCTTCTCTTCCAGTCTCTGACTCTCTGAGTCTTTCTTCTCTTCTCTTTCTATGTCTGCTTCTGTGTGCTTCTGTCTCTCCTTGTCTCTGTGTCTTTCTGTATTCTTTCTCTCTCATCTTTATCTCTGTTTTTCTTCTCTCCCTATCTTTCTCTCTGTCTCAACATGTGATGTCAGTGTCTAACAGTACTCTGGGAAGCCCATTGTGATTAGAGGAAGAAGACTGTGTGGGGTGGTCAGTCCTGCAACAGCACTTTTGAGGACACACAAGTTCCATCCCCTTAGGAGCTGTGGAGTCCCAACTGTGGTATGTAATGCCACTCTGCAGCTGAAACTCAGAGGTTCCACCTAGAAAAACTGGTCCCCATGTGGTCCTTATGGTTCAAGCCACTGCAGAGGTATTAGGTCCTATCCTACAGGGTCAGGAATCTTGCAGGAGCTGGTAGTAAAATGCAGTGGGTGCTGACTGGGGGCTTGGGAGCCTTTGAGGACAAAGGATGTATGGGGCAGACACACTGCTTTGCCACCTGTCTCCTCCCCATCCCTGCTACTCCACTGTGCTCTCTGGGCTGCACAGTGACCTCGGCATCAGCAGCACCGACAGCCTCACACCAGCAAGGGAAAAGCAAAGGATGGACTGGGGCCAAGAGTTTCCATCCATGTTTCTCTTCACTTGACCATCGAGCCACCTGGAGGACCCGGAGGACAGGAGGAATCTCCTCACAGAGGGGCTCCTATGCATCGGCATGGCTGCCAGCCTGCCCCGGCCTTTGTGCTTTCATTCTTTGTAAAGCTCTCAACTCCGATGTACACCCCAATCTGCAGACAAACTCAGGGAGTGAGGTGGCGGGGCTGGGCTCACTGGGGCTCCTCCTCTGCCAGCCTGGTGGAAAATGACAGAACTTGTACTCCGCTGAGATCGGAGAAGGGAAACTGATTTTGGGTTTTGGCTTTAAAATAATTATGAAAATGTTTGACAAGAATCCCAGAATTCAGCTCCACCACCAAGTAACAAAGTGGGCATCTTACTCATTTCCTAACCTCAGTTTCCCTATCTGCAAGGTGAGAGGGATGCACGTGTCTCTAGGGGTCTTCTCATCCTGCTGCGATGTGGACAGAGGATGGCAGCGAGCCCTCAACAAGGGGATGCTGCTGTTCCTGTGCCCAGCTGCTAGGCTCTGCTGGGGAAGGCAACAGCGACAGCCAGGGGACAGTAACGCACTATGTCAGCATGGTGGCACAGACACTGACTCAAAGCTAGAGAAGAGGACACCTCTGCCCACTCAGAACTCCGCACTAGAGGAACACACCAGCGCTCTTTCCATAGTGCTCCATCCCTGCTGAATTCTGCGTTTACACCCTGCCTCTTCCTCCAGCGTGTTGGCTATAGGTAGCCGAGGCTGGGCCCATCCTCCAAAACTATGGTGTGGGTTCCTGGCCAGCAGGGAGAGCAGCTCGGCTTCCCACACAGAGGACAGAGCAGGGAAGGGCCAGGGTGGGGATCTGGGATGGAAAGTATCTGTGGCCATGTTACGACAGGGCCACACGACTCCTAGCACTGCCCTGGGGCTGTCACACCGCAGACTTAGGCACAGCCAAAGTCAAGGTCATGGTCTGTGAGCACAGTTCTGAGCTGGTCAGCACGTTAGCTTCCTGTGGGCGGTGGGTGGCTTGTGCAGGTGGAGTATTACCTGTCACTGTGGGGATCGGTGGAGGGAAGGAAGAGGGTTGGTGACAGGAATCAGGGTGACACTCAGTGACTGTGAGCAGAGGATCCTGACTGTACTGGGCACCACTATGTGAGCTAAGAAGGGAACACTGAGCCCTGGGGACGACTTCCACTGGAGCTCAGCTTCCCACCAAAGGATGGGGAAACCCCTAGCGTGGCAGGGACATTTTTATTTTTAGTCAATTGAACATCATGGCTGTGGCACACAAAATGTGCCCACAGTCCGCACAGCTCTGCCTCTGTGCACACTGCACCCAGGGTACAGGTGAGTGAAGCAGGGAGAGGAGTTGTGTCCCCAAACACCTACCCCCAGAGGTGGCACCTCTTTAGCTCAGAAGATGGGCTTGGGGCAATGTCCACAGTGTCTTTAGTTGAGTAAGGCCACCATGAGTAATCAGGTGCCAGTCTTCTTGTGGACATACACTGTCCTTTCTCTTGGACAGATGTCCAGGGTGGAGTTGCAGGTTCAAGGGCAGACATAAGTCTAATCCTGAAGAAACTCCCAAATCATGGCTGTGACAATCTCTGCTCCCACGACCATGAGGCTGTCACTCCACATCCTCACCAGACTTTGTATCATAGCTGTTTTTCTAAGTTTTAGCCAACCCTGTGGACAGGAAGTGGTGGTTCTTCATCCCCCACTGAGTGGTGTTGAGCACTTTGGTGCCTCATTGGCCATGCGTAC